AGCGACGGTGGGTGGTGGGGTCGTGCCAAAATTCAGAGGCAAGGACTCATCAGGAACACACTGGGCGTATCAATCCATCCTTGTCTGAAGCCAACTGGATCCAGCATCGCTGTCGCTGTCCTTGCTGCCTTCTAGCAGTCCCCGGCTTCGACTTCTTGGTTGGCCTTCTTGCAGGCGTCGATCCAGTCGTGGTAGACATCAACGGGCTCGGTGAGGTAGTGCGCCCTGGTGTGGTAGACCTCCTGGCATACGTAGCAGACGGGAAAAATATCTGGTACTCCCATCCTTAGAGTACTCCCGGTGCTCCAACTTCAAAAACAAATCTGAAATGTTTCAAAAAATTTCAAAAAAATGGGGATGTTCGAAAGTAATGTGACCACAACCCCTAGAAATTTCAGGTCCAAACTCAATATGTACATTGAGAAACAAAAATGTGAAATCCAGACGTGAATAGTGTCAATGTTGATTTTGTCTTTTTCTTACACTATTTATGCCAAATTTCACATTTTTGTTTCTTGATGTACATTTCGAGTTTGGACCTGAAATTTTTAGGGGTTGTAGTTACATTCCTCGCGAACATTCACCTTTTTTCCAGAATTTTTTTGAATGTTTTTATAGATTTGAAGCACTGGGAGTACCTCAAGGATGGGAGTACCTGATACTTTCCCCGTAGCAGACCACATGAATCCTCAAGGTAGATATTAAGATTTATTAGTGTATCTTCTTGATTACCTCATTTCATGGATTCACTAACATATGCTCCCTCCATCCGGAAATACTTTTCATCAAAATGGATAAAAGAAGATGTATCTAGATGTATTTTAGTTCTAGATACATCTCTCTTTATCCATTTTGATGACAAGTGTTTTGGGACGGAGGGAGTAGTTTTGGAATTGTTTCAAACACTTCAAGTTGTATGTTCTTTTTGAACTGCACTACAACATGATAGACTCACGAGGATGCATGTGTGGTATGACGCCTGCATCCTCTAGAACCAAGAGCCGGAAGCTCCTTCTCTCGTCAAGTGTCATACAACGTCTTTGCTTTGTAAGAGCATCTCTATAAGATCATGTAAAATCCTGTGCCGCAAAATCGTTTTTGGGTATGTACCATAAAAGAGTTTTATGGTTGTACAAAATAGAATGTTCATAGAATAGATACCCGAGACCCTCCATGGACCCCACCAATCACCCCTTTTCCCCTCTTTTCCATACGCTTAAGCCTCATTTTCTACATAGAGATGCTACGAGGTTTGGCTCTTTTTCTAATTTTTTTACAGTTTGGCTCTTTTAAGGCATCTGCTGGAGATGCTCTAAGATTTCACTGCCGCTCTCTCTGTGGCGGCGACTCCCATCCGATAATGATGGGCCGCCTGCTATCGCTACACGCCGGCTGCGTTGCGAAAAGGCTTCTCTTCGAACACAATGCGCACATCCCCGCGGCTTTGGAAGCACCGAAATGACTTCATATTCAACAGCTAGCAGCCTCCAATCTCTCATCTTGTTCAGACCATCCAGGCTGGTTGATGACTTTGTTAATTCAAAGCCAGGCTAGGATCGAGCTCTTCTCAGGCTCGGCCGGTGCCTTTTCTCTAAAAAAAAGCATCAGAGTATATGTACGTGCACAAAATATGATGTGATGTAGGGCTACCTCCTAAACAATTATTACCCTATGAAGGGAGTATTGCGTATCAACTCCTAACCTTTGAATGCACCGAATGCACCACATTTTATTTGCTTCTAAAGAAGACTAGGTCATAATGTTCCATTTTTCACCTATTACTCTCGTATGATTTGGACGCGACTTCACAGAGGACGCCCCTTTAGTCACCATGGATAGTATGATGTTACCAAAGATCTCTATCTCCCTTAGCTTTAGTAGTTCTCCAAGACCAGAGATCCCGTACTCAGGATCCCGCAGGAATGACAATGTAAGCCTCTCCAGCCATGGCAGTGAACCATCCTGGAAGCACACCTTATCAGTGGTCTCCAGGTTGTCAAGAACCAATAGTTTGACTTTCAGGAATGACAATACAAGGCAGTCATCGGCATTTGATTTGTGATACAGTTTGAGGCAGAGTAGACTTGGTAGGTTCCCAAGAACATCTATGGCGTCGACTCGGAGCATGTTGTTTCAAAGAGTAAACATCGAGACATCTCTAAGTGATGCTATCGACCGAGGCAAGCACTCCATCTTGCCCATCAGGCCAAATCTAGTGAGTGTTCACCAAGAAAGGAGGTGACTCCACCAAAGATACCATTTCCTCCGACGAGATGCTCCCATCTCCATCAAATATTTGAATAGAAAGCGAGCGTGCATAGCCCGACAAATTTCTTAATGATTCCATACAAGATTTCTAGTTTACCTCTACCCCATGGAAGAGAACATTCAACTTCTTTAGATTTCTTAAGGAACTTATCTATCGGAACACTGATGGGTCCTTTTTATCTCTATACAACATACTGAAGATCATGCCGAAGCAATCAATAACCTACAACAATGAAACATCAAAACCAACCCTGTCGTTGACCACACTTAATCTTGGACTGCGAGAAAAGTCCTCCAAAACCTCCGCCTCCATGTAGGAAATGTGTCATGTTTGGTGTCTAATTAAAGAGATGGATTGTGGGATTTCACCCTAGACAAAAATTCCAGGCAATTGCAGGATAATGCCTTAAACAAAGGAAGGACAAGTAAGACCGTCATTACCAGGTATAAGTATAGGATGGTAGAACTACACTATTCATCCCATACTCAAGACTCGTTAGTTGAAGATCACCACCAAAATCAAAATCATCCCTCCCCGGTTGCCTAAGAAGAAGTCCAACGCCCCGATAGCCCACTATGGGCATGGGTGCACCATAGACCCAAAATCTATAATCTTCGATCATATGCATTGTTTGTGCATGATCTTACATGGGCATCGCGATGCAAGGAAAAACCGTGTCCGTCCAATACATGCAGCCAAGCAAAGCCTATAGTCACCAACCACCACCAATGAGGATGCCCCATTTCCGGTCGCCCAACACCAATCTCGACAGATATCTTGGTTCCTTGAGTCACTGAGTGTGAACTCATTTCCGAGCCGACCCAGATTGTCATGTGAGGCACTGTGAGACATGATTAAACCCATGCATCAAACATTGTATAATCTCTAGATCTACGATCAAAGTCACCTTTGCATCGGTGTTGAGCACTCCAACGCTTTCCGTCGATGTGGGCAAAACAACACACCTACAAGGCTGCAACCAATCTGATCAACAACATGGCTCAGTCACCTGCCCGCACTAGGACTAGTGGCTATTGCCGAACCGAGAAGGACAGGCATGCCATGCGGAGACTCGGTTCTAAAAATGAACTCGAGAAAACACAGAAATCGAATGCGAGAGATGCACCCACACTATCCAAAGCCTAACTGCCACACCAGCGGTCCGGCCCAGAGATTCATTGATCTACAAGATCCAGCTCGTCCCGAGGCCCCAACACCACCACTCCAACAGGTGAAGAAGGACGTCTCCCACCAGAGACATCTGCCACATGGTATTTGCCCACCAGCAACCACTGCCGGTAGGTAAGGGAGAGGCAGAGCAGCTAAGGGCATTGGGCTCCGCCCCTATTGCGTGCCTAGAGCGACCGTGACATGAGAGAAGTTCTAGATTTTCCCTATCACAGTGTTGCATAGACTATGTAAACTCTCTTGTCAGCCTTGGAAGCCAAAGAGTAGTTTACTGCTGCGACACAGTGTTGTAAACTATATTTGCGACATATTAAGCATTATATTCCTGACGTCTCCTACTCTCAAACTAGTCTCCCTTAGTTTTTTTGCATTGATTTTGCTAAAGGTTGGTATGAAGGGCAGGTGCCGAAATTCCGTGACTTATGAAGACTCATGAAGTAGGGATATAATGCACTTCACTGGTGGTCACATTTATATGGATGATTAGCTACACATGACACGGTTGCTAGAGACATTTATATCGAGGAATTTCTGCACATAATTTCTTCATAAACACGGAAGTCTCAAAGCCTAGAAGATCTTATTATCAAATAAGTAGGATCCTTGCTCACAGAGCTTTCTTCGGGGTAAAATTGGTTAGAATTTATAGGGCACGCTAGGTCATGAGAAGTGTTATTGCCTCAAAGACAAGGCGACAACTTTTACCACTTGGTTGGTATTGTATCATTTGAATTCTATGTAGGTGAAATATAATGTTTTTCTTGAACCATCAAATAAAGAAGAAAAAGGGGGAGAACCCCATACAAATTCAGAGTACACACAACCTCCAGTATCGAACAACACACACACACACACACACACACAAAGAAAACAACACCCTCAAAGAGCTACTCACAGCTCAGGCAAAAGAACATCTTCAGAGAGCGAACGACCTTCAGACACAATCACACAAACAAACACCCCTCCACAAGACAGCATCCTGAAAGATGCCCCCCACCATCCTGAAAGAAGCTCAGGCAAAAAAGTAGCTGTTCTGCTGCTGGGTTGTGTAGTCAAACAGGTTAGTGTGAACGTCAAGGCGCGTGATCGCTGTCGATCTAAGCTATCGACAAAATTGCTAAAATAGTGGTGTGAGTGACTAAAAAATGGTTCCTAGTCAAAACTCAGAACATAGAATCACAACCATGTTAGATAAAACTGTAGGAAGTATGGTCAGGAGCTACAGATGAAACGAACAAGAGTGCACCGCACTACAGCCCACTCCACGTCATACAATAGATAATCATTATAAAAAAACTCACACTAGTTTTTTTTTCTTTTAATACACAAAGATTTGACAAAGTAATCATAATGTGCAGACGAAACTGGCAACACTATGACTCGCTTAAAATCAGAAGAGTATATGTACATGCACAAAAATATGCTGCGCTGCGGGCTACCTCCTACCGAATTATTACCCTGTGAATTAAAAAGAGTCTTGATTTAGCACCACCATGCAACCTTTCAATGCGATAACAAGATAGACCACACTTTATTTGCTTACCTAAGAATACTCAGTCACAATATTCCATTTGTCACCTATTACTCTTGGATGATTTGGATGTGTCTTCACGGACGATGTCACTTTAGTCACCAGGGATAGTATGATGTTACCAAAGAACTCTATCTCCCTCAGCTTCAGAAGATTATCAAGACCAGAGATCCCATACTTGGGCTCCCTCAGGAATGACAACGTAAGCCTCTCAAGACATGGCACCGAACCATCCTCGAAGCACACCTTGTCAATGTTCTCTAGGTTGTCAATAACCAACAGCTTGACTTTCAAAAATTTACCGCGTGGGAATATGAGGCAGTCATCGGCATATGATTTGTGATACAGCTTGAGGCAGAGCAGACTTGGCAAGTCTCCAAGGACATCTATGGCGTCGGCCCGCAGCCCGTTCTTGCGAAGAGTAAACGTCGAGACGTTTCTAAGTGATGCCACCCATCGAGGTAAGCGCTCCAGCTTGCCCGTCAGGCCAAAGCTGGTGACCAAGAGAGGAGGTGACTCCACCGAAGATAACATTTCCTCCGATGAGATGCTTCCATCTCCATCAAATATTTTGATGGAAAGCGAGCGCACAGAGCCCGACAAATTGCTTAATGATTCCACACAAGGTTTCCAGTTCACCTCTACCTCATGGAAGAGAATGTTCAACTTCTTTAGATTTCTTAACTTGCTTATCTCCTGGAACACGGATGGGTCCCTTTTTATCTCTATATGGCATAATGATTGAAGGGATGTCATGTTCATGAGAACCCCAGGTGTCATTTCTAGGCCACAGAATCCTTTGAAGAACTTCACACTACCTGTCCTAGTAAGATGTGTCTTATGCCCAACTAGCAAATGCTTCAGATGTGCCAGGCTCTTGGCACTACCTGGTAGCTTCTTAATAAGTGTTTCTCTGATATCTAGTGTCTCCAAGTAATTTAGATGGCCTATGAATCTCGGCAATTTGGAAATATTGGTATTTCTGAGGCTTAGATAATTCAGCTGGAAAAAACAACAGATGCAGTCTAGATCCTTGTTACTCAAGCAGCTGCTGCCTTGCATATCCAACACTCTTAACAACCTCAAATGTGCGAAGAAGAATGGGATTTCCTCCATGGAAGGTGACATTCTAAACGTGCGAACATGAGCTACACTAGCGTTTGTTCTCTGCACTGAGTGCCTGCTGCTCTGGAATGAGAGGCGGCGTATTTTGTCATGGGAATCCAGTGTGGTTCCATTTTCACAGAAGTATGATGCGAAGTTCTCCTCAAGTGACTTGGACATGATGACCTCAACCATTATATCATGAACTCGACAACTTCTCACCTTGCCACTCCAATCAATTTTCACAGGATGCACCATGCTTCTGGCTACGAACTCGTCAAAGTATCTTTCAGCAACCTCCTCCATACTAAGTCCATGTTTTGGGGTGATAAATCCTTCGGCTATCCACATTCTCAGCAAAGGTCCCCTCTTGATCACATAATTTTGAAGAAATATACTTAGATACAAGAAGCAAGCCTTCAGATGGTATGGCAGATCATTGTAACTCAAAGATAAGACTTGCTTTGTCCCTTCAAGTGTAGGATTTAATTCAAGTTCAGAGCCCAAGTTATCAGAAACCTTCTGCCACTCTTGTTTGGTTCTGTTTGGTTTGCTAGCGAGAAGGCTACCAATGCTGACTATTGCTAATGGTAAGCCTCCACATTTCTTGAGTATGGCATTTGAAACTTCCTCCAACTCATTGTTGGGCAATCCATCTACTAAGCCAAAGATCCTCTTGAAGAATAGCTCGCGTGATGCAATCTCAGATAGGCGTTGGATTTTGTAAATCCGATCTTGGGAATGACAACAACATGTATTAGCGACATCCCCGTTCCTAGTGGTTACTATAATCCTGCTTCCTTTTTCATTGTCAGGAAACACACATCTGATGTTCTCCCATGCCGACGAAGTCCATATGTCATCGAGAATCACGATGTACCTACAATATAAAGTTGACAATATTCAGGTCATAGGATAATATTCCAGAATCAAAACATCTATTATTCAGGAGATGGAGCACCAGGGATGAAGTACAGTTAATTGGAATATAATTGTGAACTGGAGCTACTTAACGCAAATAAACAAACACCACATATAAAAGAGATACAAGAACGATCTCCGCAATTTGAACACCAAATAAAGAGAGGTCTTTGGGTGGTTTTAGAGTTTAGTGATGAAAACTACACTCCAAGTAGGGATAAAAGTACTCTTTTTCCCTACATTATATTAGTAAGGTGGTATAGACAGTGGCGAATCTAGCAGGACATTGGAGCTTAGGCCTAAAACACAAAGTTCCTAAGTCTAATTAGCAAATGCATTGCAACTGTTGCATGTAAACCATCAGAATATACTTGTCAAGTGGTATGTTTAGCTTAAATAGGATTTTGAAGGGTAGGCTTATTAAGCCTATTGAAGCCTCCCTAGTGGAAATCGCCACTAGGTATAGGCATGCCAAAAGTTTAGCGACATTGTACCATCACCCAAAAAATTTGCTAGAGCTAGTTTTGGACGCCAACTAAACATACTCACGAGTCACGTCCAAGGAGCTGAGCCTCGGCCATCGTACCATGAATTCACTCAATAGGGAAAAGAAAAATACACTTTCTTTTAACTCAATGAACATGTATTACTTACTTAAAATGATAATAGCCATGTTCTTGAGGATAATAAGAATGTTGATGAATAACGAAAAGAAAAACAGTGTTAATTTTTTGATAAACAAACAAATATTGATTCATGACGACAAAAGCCTTTTGTATGCAACAATAAATAGGTAAATTACAATTAAGATATATCTCTATAAAATTATAGCACCACCCTAGTACAAATTAGGAACGCTTAGTCATACCTTGTTACTGTGCATGGCAATTATAATAGGCAAAATTTCGTCAGAAAAGCTAAATAACCAATCCATCTCCTGACCTAAAAACTAACATACCAATATCTGGCGAAGGTTTCTTAGGAGTGTTTCCCCAACGAACATTCAAGTTACCATGCAATTTCAAGCAAAGTAGGACTTGCCATGACCGAAAGGGAAAGTTGACATGCAGCAAAAAAAATGTCAGCTACTCCCTCCGTCCAAAATAAATGTCTTAACTTTATTAAAATTGAGACGCTTATATTTTAAAACAGAGGGTGTTTACTTTAATATAAAAGATCTGGATCCAACGGCTGTTGGGGCGTTTGTTGGAACCTCCCTCCAACGAACGTTCCCGGTTAACATTTCGCAAAAACTATTCTGGGTCAACTGAGCGTCACTAAATCCGTGAAAACAATTGATGCGGTAGGTGGACTATACCTTTTGTCTTGCAGGTAGCGCCTGAGCTTGCTGGCCAGCAGCGCCGTTTCCCAGTTCTCCATCCCGTGCAAGCTTACATCCATGGTATCGTCGCCGGCAGCCAAGCGGGGCCGCTGGGTCAGTTCCCTGAGCATGTGCAGGAACAGCGCCCTGACGTTTAGCGTCTGCGAGACGATGAGCAACGGGGAGCACTGGAAGTCGGCGCCCTTCACTCGCGGGCTCCCGCACACCATCCTCGCCAGCGTGGTCTTGCCGAGCCCACCGAACCCGACGACGGCGAGCACCCGGAGCCTCGCGTCGTCCTCCATCAGCCAGCCGACGAGCTCGTCCCTTGGCCCGTCGATGCCCACCAGCTGCGCCTCCTCGGTGAAGAGGGCGGGCAGCCGCGGGTCCAGGCGGCCGGAGACGCCGGAGCCAGACGCGTGGCTGCTGGCACGCCCGAGCGCCGTCTTTGGCGGTAGCACCCCGTACCTGGAACGCCGCTCGCCGGCGTCCCTGGCGCGAGTCTTCAGTTCTTGGAGCTGGGCCGCCATGCGCCGGTGACGGCGACCACCGCCTGATCCTAGCGTGGCGAGCAGACGCACGAAGCGTCGGAGGGACGCCATGACGGCGCCGCCGTCTTTGTCGAAAGGCTGCTGGCCGCGGACGTAGTCGTCGATGCAGTCCTCGGCGTCGTAGGCGATCTCCCTCACCTGCTTCACCCAGACCCGGACCTGGTCGTCGTGGCCGTCGGACGACTCGGCCAGGCTGCGGAGGAAGGCCGTCATGCTCTCGAGCTCGTCCTTGATGTACTGGACCTCGCCGTGGAGGCGCTGCACCGGCCAGCTCTCCTGCGCGAGGAGACCGCCGAGCTTGCACAGGAGGCCGCGCACGGCGCCCTCGGTCAAGCTGATGATGGCGCCCTCCATTTTCCAAACTGCAGCTTCTACCTTCACGCCACTATATTTATAGCGCATATCGCACTTGCTGTTTCTTCGAGGAAAGTAGCACTTGTTTTCAAGGCAACGTAATCACGCTCGGAAAAAATGTGCAACGTAACCAATCATGTGTTTGTCAAAAACCAAAGCATGACCGTAATTTGTTTTTACATTGCTGGAAACTTCTCAGTGCGTCAGGATATCGCTATCACTATTCACTAGTCGTCCTTATAGGATGTGCTAAAGAACAATTTGTTTAAAGAGTGGAAATTTCATATTTGATCTCCTGAAAGGCCTATGAAATAATGGAATTGACTAATTGTCGTATCCTGATGATGCTTCGAGCTTAAGTCTAGTGATAATTATAGAAATATTCAGTCAGGACAATGACGTAGCTACTCGTCTTCAGGATGTACCTAACGGAATCACTTATAGTATACGCGTAAACTGCCTACTACCATAGGTGCATGGCACGGGAATCCTTCATGGAAGAAGTAGATAACGTCCAAACGTGTGGTAGCAGGACCTTCGGACTGAACATTCGGTACAAGGGATCGATCCCCCCGACCGATTTCGTCCGGCAGGGGGAAGAAACCCACCACGCAAACGCCAGCCAAGATGACGCCCTACAAAAACCAAAAAAGGGTAAAGAAAAGCCCAGTAATAACGAAACAAATGAAAAGGCGTAGATTTTGTTTTTCTTCCTGTGCAAATAGAAGCCAGTTTTTGCTCTACTACGAAAAAATGCCATCAACTTTAGAGGCAGAAAAAAACATGAAAAATTACAAAAGAAATGCCATTCAAGTTTCAGCAAAAGTATTTGATTCCTTAAAATAAAAAGCATGGCAAAGTTACCACAGCGAGAAATTCAAAATTGCCATGGCAAAAAAGTATGTTTGAAAAATGACCATGGACTAAACAGTTCTACATATGAAAACCCATAGACTAAAAATATATGTCATGACCATACACTATTAAAACCATGATGTATTCGGCTATATTTGACATGGGCCATGGCAAATTTGTTGGAAATGTACTATATATGATCTATAGCCTAAAAAATGTATAGACTATAATTTCATGGATCCATAGACTAAAAAATGCCATGATCCATACACTAAACTTTCAATGATGTATAGATCACTATATTTGCCAAGGTCCCTACGCAAAAGGAAAATGGCCATGTTGCATAAAAGGGAGAAAATTTGGCCATGTTGCTGATGGGGAACGTTGCAGAAAATTAAATTTTTTCCTACGGTTTCACCAAGATCCATCTATGAGTTCATCTAAGCAACGAGTCAAGGGAGAGAGTTTGCATCTACATACCACTTGTAGATCGCGTGCGGAAGCTTGCAAGGTGATGACGTAGTCGTACTCGACGTGATTCGAATCACCGATGACCAAGCGCTGAACGGACAGCGCCTCCGCGTTCAACACACGTACGGGACGGGAGACGTCTCCTCCTTCTTGATCCAGCAAGGGGGAAGGAGAGGTTGAGGAAGACAGCTCCACCGGCAGCACGACGGCGTGGTGATGGTGGAGAAGCAGTACTCCGACAGGGCTTCGCCAAGCACACAACGGAGGAGGAGAGGTGTTGGGGAGGGGAGGGCTGCGCCTTGCAGGGTGGTGCGGCTGCCCTCCCCTCACCCCTCTATTTATAGGGGGAAGGGAGAAGGGGGCCGGCCCCCCTAGAACCCATCTAGGGGGGGGGGGGGCGGCCAAGGGGAGAGGGGGAGAGGGTGGCTTGCCCCCCAAGCCAAGGGGGGCGCCCCCTCTAGGGTTCCCCCCTCAACCCTAGGCGCAAGGGCCCAAGGGAGGGGGTGCGCCCAGCCCACCAGGGGCTGGCTCTCTGCCCCACGCAGCCCATGTGGTCCCCCGGGAGGGGTGGCCCCTCCCGGTGGACCCCCGGAACCCTTCCGGTGGCCCCGGTACAATACCGGTATGACCCCGAAACTTCCCGGTGTCCGTTTGACAGCTTCCCATATATAAATCTTTACCTCCGGACCCTTCCGGAGCTCCTCGTGATGTCCGGGATCCCATCCGGGACTCCGAACAACATTCGGTAGTCACATACTAGTCTTCCTAATAACCCTAGCGTCACCGAACCTTAAGTGTGTAGACCCTACGGGTTCGGGAGACATGCAGACATGACCGAGACGCTCTCAGGTCAATAACCAACAGCGGGATCTGGATACCCATGATGGCTCCCACATGCTCCTCGATGTTGTCATCGGATGAACCACAATGTCGAGGATTCGATCAAACCCTGTATACAATTCCCTTTGTCAATCGGTACGTTACTTGCCCGAGACTCGATCGTCGGTATCCCAATACCTTGTTCAGTCTCGTTACCGGCAAGTCACTTTACTCGTACCGTAATGCATGATCCCGTGTCCAACACCTTGGTCACATTGAGCTCATTATGATGATGCATTACCGAGTGGGCCCAGAGATACCTCTCCGTCATACGGAGTGACAAATCCCAGTCTCGATCCGTGTCAACCCAACAGATACTTTCGGAGATACCTGTAATGCACCTTTATAGTCACCCAGTTACGTTGTGACGGTTGATACACCCAAGGCACTCTTACGGTATCCGGGAGTTACACGATCTCATGGTCGAAGGAAGAGATACTTGACATTGGCAAAGCTCTAGCAAAACGAACTACACGATCTTTTATGCTATGCTTAGGATTGGGTCTTGTCCATCACATCATTCTCCTAATGATGTGATCCCGTTATCAACGACATCCAATGTCCATAGTCAGGAAACCATGACTATCTGTTGATCACAACGAGCTAGTCAACTAGAGGCTCACCAGGGACATATTGTAGTCTAAGTATTCACACGTGTATTACGATTTCCGGATAATACAGTTATAGCATGAATAAAAGACATTTATCATGAACATTGAAATATAATAATACTTTTATTATTGCCTCTAGGGCATATTACCAACAGTCTCCCACTTGCACTAGAGTCACCAATCTAGTTACATTGTGATGAATCAAACACCCATAGAGTTCTGGTGTTGATCATGTTTTGCACGCGAGAGAGGTTTAGTCAGCGGATCTGCGACATTCAGATCCGTGTGTACTTTGCAAATCTCTATGTCTCCATCTTGAACATTTTCATGAATGGAGTTGAAACGACGCTTGATGTGCCTGGTCTTCTTGTGAAACCTGGGCTCCTTGGCGAGGGCAATAGCTCCAGTGTTGTCACAGAAGAGTTTGATCGGCCCCGACGCATTGGGTATGACTCCTAGGTCGGTGATGAACTCCTTCACCCAAATCACTTCATGCGCTGCCTCCGAGGCTGCCATGTACTCCGCTTCACACGTAGATCCCGCCACGACGCTTTGCTTGCAGCTGCACCAGCTTACTACTCCACCATTCAACATATACACGTATCCGGTTTGTGACTTAGAGTCATCCAGATCTGAGTCGAAGCTAGCGTCGACGTAACCCTTTACGATGAGCTCTTCGTCTCCTCCATAAACGAGAAACATGTCCTTCGTCCTTTTCAGGTACTTCAGGATATTCTTGACCGCTGTCCAGTGTTCCTTGCCGGGATTACTTTGGTATCTTGCCACCAAACTGACGGCAAGGTTTACATCGGGTCTGGTACACAGCATGGCATACATAATAGATCCTATGGCTGAAGCATAGGGGATGACACTCATCTCTTCTTTATCTTTTGCCGTGGTCGGTGACTGAGCCGAGCTCAGTCTCACACCTTGTAACATAGGCAAGAACCCCTTCTTGGACTGATCCATTTTGAACTTCTTCAAAATCTTATCAAGGTATGTGCTTTGTGAAAGACCTATGAGGCGTCTCGATCTATCTCTATAGATCTTGATGCCTAATATATAAGCAGCTTCTCCAAGGTCCTTCATTGAAAAACACTTGTTCAAGTAGGCCTTAATGCTGTCCAGGAGTTTCGTATCATTTCCCATCAAGAGTATGTCATCTACATATAATATGAGAAATGCTACAGAGCTCCCACTCACTTTCTTGTAAACGCAGGCTTCTCCATAAGTCTGCGCAAACCCAAACGCTTTGATCATCTCATCAAAGCGAATGTTCCAACTCCGAGATGCTTGCACCAGTCCATAAATGGATCGCTGGAGCTTGCATACTTTGTTAGCGTTCCGAGGATCGACAAAACCTTCCGGCTGCATCATATACAGCTCTTCCTTAAGATGTCCGTTAAGGAATGCCATTTTGACGTCCATCTGCCATATCTCATAATCATAGTATGCGGCAATTGCTAACATGATTCGGACGGACTTCAGCTTCGCTACAGGAGAGAAAGTCTCGTCGTAGTCAATCCCTTGAACTTGTCGATAACCCTTAGCGACAAGTCGAGCCTTATAGATGGTAACATTACCATCCGCGTCCGTCTTCTTCTTAAAAATCCATTTGTTTTCTATCGCTCGCCGATCATCGGGCAAGTCTGTCAAAGTCCATACTTTGTTTTCATACATGGATTCTATCTCGAATTTCATGGCTTCAAGCCATTTGTTGGAATCCGGGCCCGCCATCGCTTCTTCATAGTTCGAAGGTTCATTGTTGTCTAACAACATGATTTCCAGGACAGGGTTGCCGTACCACTCTGGTGCGGAACGTGTCCTTGTGGACCTACGAAGTTCAGTAGCAACTTGATCCGAAGTACCTTGATCATCATCATTGGTTTCCTCTTCAGTTGGTGTGGGCATCACAGGAACATTTTCCTGAGCTGCACCACTTTCCCGTTCGAGAGGTAGTACTTCATCGAGTTCTACTTTCCTCCCACTTACTTCTTTCGAGAGAAACTCTTTTTCCAGAAAGCATCCGTTCTTGGCAACAAAGATTTTGCCCTCGGATTTTAAGTAGAAGGTATACCCGACAGTTTCCTTAGGGTATCCTATGAAGACGCATTTTTCCGACTTGGGTTCGAGCTTTTCAGGTTGAAGTTTCTTGACATAAGCATCGCATCCCCAAACTTTTAGAAACGACAGCTTAGGTTTCTTCCCAAACCATAATTCATACGGTGTCGT